TTGATCTATCCTTTTTTTTCTGAGTGAGGAGGCCTCATATCGTCATGTGACTACATACCGGATTAAAAAAAAAAAAAATATCTCTTCAGCATTGTTAGTATTCAATAAAACAAGAATTAAATCTGCTTTCACGTGTTTGTCACTCTCTCGTCACGGCGGGCTATAGACCTGGATCTTGTCCTGGGGTAAGTTGCCACTATATTCCTGTTTATCATAACATGTGACATATACGTTTGCCACCACAACCAACGAAATAATCATTACCACACTTGGTGCCGCGCCCAACCGTTTCGTGTGCTGTGGCAATTACATTAACGTTGCATTGAACTGTATCTATTCTAAGACTGTATTTAAAGCAGTTGTATTTATGAATGTATTTAAAGTGAATATAGATTGTATTAATCACATGAATGATTCAAAGTCTAACTGAATGTATTTAAGATGAATATAGATTGTATTAATCACATGAATGATTCAAAGTCTAACTTAAGTCTTATGCTGCAGTGGTAAATTTGTTTGATATTAATTTTTTTATTTGTATTATATATATGATTTATAGTATATACCTTTATTGGGCAAAAATTTGCATATTTATCATATGTGTCATTTCATAGAATGTTATTTTGTTTAATTGAGTATGCCTAAGACACGACAACAATCTCCTGAACAAATGGAAACTAAAACATTCACATTTAATATTGCATCATTTTCTGGTGATCCTGATACCGTTCGCTGGTTCACTAGCCAGATTAAAGAATATAAAACTCTTAATAATTGGAATGATAAAGTTGCACTATTATATCTGAAAAGTAAACTTGTTGGTGCTGCACAGCAGTTCTTTGCAGAATCGCCTGCTTGTCAAAATCAAAATGTGACTTCCCTAGACGAGGCTTGTGAAAAACTGATAAATTTCTTTTCGAAGGATTCTAACTCTTCATCTAATTTAATTGCTTTCCAGACCATTCAGCTGTTACCTGGTGAGTCAATGAAAAGTCTTGCTCATCGCATTGAAACTTTGGCTCATGCTACATACAACCATGTTCAAAATAGCAAAGCATTGAACCAAATAAAATCTTTGCAGTTTCTAGCTGCTTTACCAATAGAACTCAAAGAAAAATTAATTAGTGAATCTACAGATAATTTTGATCAGCTTGTGAATTTAGCTCAGCAACATCATTCTAATTCGCAAAATTTGAAAATAATGCAAACACATTCCATTGCTTTGAATAGCAAAGATGATGCTATTGAGAGTTTAAAAAGTCAAGTTGAAAACCTCAGTCTTCAAATTGCATTACAGAATGAAAAATGTCAGTTTTGTAATTTAGATAAGCATCCCTTAAATCAATGTAATGCTGTTTTGTCTTTACGGACAAGTAATCCCACACATGCTCAAGATACAAATGACCACTGTGTAAATTGGATGCAAGAAACTCCCATATATCCTCCATATCCACTTCCATGCTTATACTGTCATAAATTTGGACATTCAATGTCAGTATGTCGTGCGTATTTGGCGATGTGTAGCCCTCGTCAGAACCAGGTTAGAAGTTCGAGTAACTATGTTAGCAGTCGTCCTAATCTCACTAGACCACAGTTCTATAGCAATAGTACGCGACAAGGTGATAACTCAAATGTTAACAGATTTCCATCTTATGGTCGGAGACCAAATTATTATAATCAGCCAAGATACAGTACCCCTTTAAACGCAAGGGGAGTTCACAAGTAGGTGGCGATGTGACCTCTAATGTTTCAACCAAGTCACCAAAAACCAACTATCATACGAGCAAAGAATCGGAGAGTATTGAAACATATTTAAATAAGCAAATGATAATCAGTGGTAAACCCTCGAGTTCTATCAAAGAGTTTTTGCAACAATTTCATGTCAAAAGTAAAAGTAATTGTTTACCTATTGCGCATATAAATAATGTCTTTTCTGATTGTACTCTTCCTTTGATTCATGTAACATTTGGTAAAAATTTGTGCACTTTATTACTTGATTCAGGAAGTTCTGTGTCATTGTTATCAAAAGCTGTGTTTGATACAATAAGATTGGATACTAAAGTTAGATTTTTATCCAGACATGTTCAAATTAAAACTATCAATTCCAATTTACATTTTTCAGCCTGTGCAGAAATATCATTTAAGATAAACAAGCAGCATTTTAAACACGCCTTTTATGTATCTGATGCTTTTCAACAAAATTTTCATGGAATTTTAGGTTATGACTTTTTATCCAAACATGATGTCTTAATATGTGCTAAAAGTGCAGTTGCAAAATTTAATAATTTTGATGTACCTCTAATTAATATGGCTAATGTAAAAAAATTATAATTGTAATCCTGTACCTTCAGAATGTTATGCAATTTTGAAACACAAAATTATGTTAGATCCTGGAGAATCGACAATTGCGCACTTAAGAGTCAATAGTTCTCATGCTAACAATCAACCTGTCCTTTTTCAACCAACTGTAAGTAAACATATTGAATTGCATCCTGCGATCCACACTCTAAACGACAATTCCTTCATTACTGTCATCAAAAATATTGGTTCGAACAATGTTCATATAAACAAAAATCAGAAGCTAGGTCAAGTCACATCTGATATTGAATTTGCTGAGACCATACCTGATTCTGTAAATTCGGATACTCCTCAAAATGAGTATTGCAATCTTATAACTCCATCAAAAGAGGTTTTAGAAATAAGGAAACAAGAATTGTTACCAACTGACTTTGATCTTAACCATCTTTCTCCTGAACAAAGGCAGTGTTTATTGGATGTGTTAATCTCTAATTATGCAGCTTTTTCCAAATCTTTAAAATCACTTGGCTGCACTGATAGGGTAACCCCACAAATTTGTTTTAGGTCTTCGAATCCCATTAGGACCCTCCCTTTTGAAATTCCTTATTCATTGCAATCCCAAGTTAAAAGAATATCTTCAGGAATTGCAGGAAGCTGGTTTAATTCATCGAAATGTTGCTGAATGGGCTTGTCCCATGCTGTTAGTAAAAAAGAAGCCAGATCCCAAATACCCTAATAATCCACCCAAATACCGCATGGCTCTTGATTTAAGATTGCTTAATTCTATTATTGAACATTCAACATATCCTCTTCCAAAGATTTCAACGCTTATAAACAACATCTCCACTTACAAGTACTATTCAGTACTTGACTTAAAAAATGCTTATTGGCAAATTAAACTTCCCGATCACTTGCAGGATGTGTTAACATTTACTACACCTTTTGGATCCTTTGCTAATAGAAGGCTAGTTTTTGGCTTAAAGACTGCCGCCAGTACTTTTCAAGCTTTAGTGGATACGCTTATTGATGAACTAAAAATGGACGGCATCGTAGGTGTGCATGCATATCAGGATGATATTGTAATAGGTGCTTCTGACTTTGATGATATGATGACTAAGTTGACTGCAGTATTGAAACTTTTATCTAAGTATAACATAACACTGTCTCCTACAAAATGTGTCTTTTTCAAAACAGCTATAGATTATTTAGGATTTCACATCTCTCATAACTTAATTAAACCCATTTCAACTAATATTGCTAAGATCACTAACTTTCAACCACCTAAGACTGTCCGACCAGGTCAGAAAATTTCTAGGCCTTTGTGGTTTCTATAGGCATCTCATACCAAATTATGCCGAACTTACTGATATTTTGACACAATTGACCAGTAAGAAGAATAAATTTAAATGGACTGATGCGCATAGCGTTGCATTTGAGAAACTTCAGCATATATTCTTTTCTGAACCTTTTGTTATCTTACCACAATGGGACAAGGAATTTATACTGAATACTGATGCCAGTGGTCATGCTATTTCGGGAGTTCTTCTGCAGGAACACAACAATGAATTGCATCCTGTGTCATATTATAGTCGAACATTGTCACCATCTGAAAGAAAATACCCAGCTATAAAATTGGAACTTTATGCCATTTATCGGTCTGTTACTGCTTTCAAATCATATTTATATAATCGAAAGTTTACAATTTTGACTGATAGTAAACCTCTGTTGCATTATCAAAAATCTACGTCACCTGCTGACAACACGACTAGGTGGCTTATGGAGTTAAGTGAATATACTTTTGAATTTAAGCACATTCCTGGAAAATTAAATTCTCTAGCTGATTACATGTCACGTATGCAAGATCCTGATCATAATCAGCCAGTGTTGGCTGAAAACTCTGAAGATAACTCAGTTATTCTTCCGTTTGTTGAAACAAATCTTGAACGACCCCAAGTGAATGCCCTGGTTTCTTCTGGAGATCCTGCTCATGAAATTTCTGAGTCAACGTTTCTTGCTGAGCAAAGTTCGGATCCTTTTACTTCAGAAATTATCACAATTTTGAAAAATCCTTCCTTGCTTAATGCTGCAAAGGTACATAATTTCTTCATTAATGAGTCAAGCAAGCTTCTTATGTTTATTTCAAACAAACAAAATAATGCTGAGTTAATTGTTGTTCCACAAGCACTGAAATCTAAAGTGTTAGAAATTTCCCATATATCCCATCTTGGGGTGCAAAAGACTTATGAGATTTTATCGAAACGTTACTTTTGGAAGGGCATGTATAACGACACAAAGAACTTTGTCCTCTCGTGTCATTTATGCAACAAATATAAGTCGTTCACTCCTAAACAAGCACCATATAAAGCCATCAGAATACCTAAGTACCCAAATGACTTTATTTCCATGGATATTGTCGGTCCTATAAGGAATTGTGGCCATGTTCTTACTGTTTTAGATCATTTTTCTAAGCATCTTGCTTTATATCCACTTAAAAATCTCACTGCTGAAACTATTACAGGGCATTTATTACAATATATATCTGTACATGGACGACCGGAAATGACTGACTGATTGGGCGATGCAGGACTGTAAGGGTGTCAACCTAGATCTTCACTTTGCCTGGTAGTGAGAATTTGGATGTGCCTTCAGCGGATTTTTTTTCATCGCGCAAACTTACGTGATTTAAAAGGCGGTAAATCCCCGGAGGGAGGAGATTGTGAAGGTGCGAGATGGAGATGCTGCATAGAGAAAGATGGTAAGAGTGGGGTAAAATGCAAACTTTTGGGAATTTATCGTGCAAGCTTTCTTGGTCTGCCAGTGTGTATAAAGGAAGCGAGTTTCTTTCTCTTTGATGCTGTAGCTACAAAATTTAAGATAATCCCTTTTTTTTCCCCGGACTTGGCATTTTCGCCTGGCATCCCAATGAAGAGTACCTGCATGTGATTGAGCTGAAATATACCAAGTCTTCGAAGGGCTCTGTGGAAGAATTGATCTATCCTTTTTTCTGAGTGAGGAGGCCTCATATCGCCATGTGATACAACGGATTCAAAAAAGAATATCTCTTCAGCATTGTTAGTATTCAATAAAGCAAGAAGTAAATCTGCTTTCACGTGTTTGTCACTTTCTCGTCAGGGCGGGCTATAGACCTGGATCTTGTCCTGGGGTAAGTTGCCACTATATCCCTGTTTATCATAACATGTGACATATACTTTTGCCACCACAACCAACGAAATAAACTTTACCACAAACATGAGTCACTGTTTGACACCTATTGCCATAGTTGGCGAACCTGATTTCAGGAACCTCGCCAAGTTACGGTTATCTGCATATCCCCACATTTTGCATTCTTTGTGACTTTTAATTATTTTTGATGGAATCCTTTTAACAACTTCAACTCATATCTAGATTCAGATTTTAAATTTTATATAACAATCTTTTAAGTATATAGAGTCTGTGAGGGAAAAAAATATGTACTTTTCACGAATCTAATATTATAATAATTAATGAATAAACCAATTCTAAATATTTAACAGAAAAAAGGTCATCTTTATTTTTATTTACACTGGTAAAAAAAAATTTTTGGGTGCTATTTCAAATCCTTTCTTTCTTTTTTAAATATATATACAGTCACAAGTCGTTAAGTCGGACACCCATAATCCGGAATGATCTATAATCCAGACCTCAAAGCTACAAACTTTCTGCGCACGCACGTAGGACCTCTACGGCTGCGAATATGCTTGTGCGCATGCGCAAAATACGTTTACGCATGCACATTTAATGTATAGCGTACGGTATAAGCTAAGCTAAGATTATCTAATTCAGTTAATGTTGCAGATTGCGTTGTTCCTTAAACTTCGAATTGGATCCGACTTATTATTTTTTGCAGACTGTTAGAGCAATTTTATAAAAGTTAGCTTGAACTTTCTATTATGTCAAATAGAATTTCCGATATATACTTACTAATATGTAAAGGATCTACAAAGCAAAAGTATGTTTCGAAGTCTATTATACAAAAGTGGAACTGCTGCAATAAATGACCTAACCATTCCGAAAACTGTTTATCAATTTCATAAGAGGAAAACAGTACGCAGACGGCAAATACACAAAAAATTATTTTATAAATGCATCCGAAGAGCTATTTCGGGATTTTAAGAACAAAGCAGATATTCTGAAAAGAATTAAAGAGTTACCATTGTCTGCCAAAAACCATTAAAGATAGAACAATTAAAATGTGTTCGAATATAAACACCCAGCATATCAAAGATCTGAAATTGGTTTCTGCTGTATCAATAGCAGTTGACGAGTCTTGTGACATAAATGATACAGCGCAAGTTTCACTTTTTGCAAGATTTATGTCTCATTCAGGACATAAAGAAGAACTTTTAGGATTATTGCCACGCAAAGGTCAGGCACGTGGAGAAGATATCACCAATGCTGTAATGGAGTGTATGGATAAACATCATATTCCCCTCGATAAAGTTGTGTCGATATCAACAGATGGGGCCAAAAGTATGATCGACGTAAGAAAAGGGGTTGTTGCTATTTTGAAAGAAAAAATTAATCCAGGATACTTGTTTACCATTGCTTCATTCACCAAGAAGCGCTTTGTGCACAAACATTTCCGGAAGAAATTTGTAAAGTTATGGAATTAGTGATTACCATTATCAACTCCATTTTAGCTAAAGCTCTTAATCATCGCCAATTCAAAAAATTTTTATTTGAAATGGAGAGTGAATACGTTGATCTTCTGCTTCATAACAAGATCTTCTACTTCATAACTTATCAAGAGGGAACGTTTTAAAACATTTCGCGTCCCTTTTTCCGGAAATTAAAGCATTTCTCCTTGAGAAGGGCTTTCACTATCCAGAACTAACAGACGTGAATACAAAACTTTTATTTCATGGTAGACGTTACGTCTCATCTAAATCAGCTTAATCATAAACTACAAGGGAAAGGAAACTTAACTTTGTCGATGTTAGAAGAAGTAATAACATTCGAAAACAAATTATCCATTTTTGCACAGGATTTTGAAAGGGAAACATTATTTCACTTTCCAAGCTTGTTGAAGCATCGCCAAGAAAATAATTCTTCTATTGATAAACACCATTTTAAAACAATAATTTTAAATATGAGGGAAGCATTTCTCAGCAGGTTTCAGGAATTTAAAAACAGCAGAGCAACTTTAGCTTTGTCAAAAATCCTCTTAATGCTAGGATAACCGAGTTGAAATTTTCTCCTTTTGAAATTGACATTGGTGGCTTTGAAATACAATTGCTGGATTTAAAAAACAAGGAGATATGGCGCTCTAAATTCGAACGTATTTGTGTTGAATTGGAAATATTGGAGAAGAAAAAATGTGATCTTAGTTCCCAACACAAGTGGTCTGCTTTCAACGCTTGGAATAGTACTCCTGACTCATGATCAGCTCAAAAAGCTCGCATTTGCTGTTTTTTTCCTTTTCGGTTCTACATATATACATGAGTGAACAATCTTTTTCAAGCATGATCATTATCAAGAGTAAACTGAGAAGTCGTCTTATTGATGAGAACTTTGAATCATGCCTAAAATTAAAAACAATATACAAACCTGACGTACTCAGACTTTCCAAGGAGATGCAAGCACATTGTTTGCAGTAATAAATATTTATTAAGTATTTAGTTTTATTTAGTGTAATAATAAAAGTTTACTAAACAAGCAGATTTGGCTCCCAATTTTTTTAATTGTTTTAATGTTCATATTTTGCTCTTTGGCTAATAAGTTTGTCGACCACTTGGTTAGGGGTATTTTACCTAGTGCTGAGTCATTCTTCTTAATAATAACATTTATTTTCACTTAAGAGAAACATAATTACGACATAACCCCTATTCTTACGAAGAAAAAAAAAATATAACCGAAGGCTGCCGATATTAATAATGTTAACTCACTCACGTCAGACTTAAATTGACTGTGTTATTTTAAAATTTTATCGCATGATTAATCTTTTACGACATTCGCAAGAAACTGATAGGTGGCTAATGTTAAATTCTGGCATACATATATGAAATGATAAAAAATATTCTTTTCCAAGTTTCTATAAGCTTTCTATAAATGTGATCTGCAGTTTTACGTTTATCACCATATATAACTATGTGAATATGGGGGAAAACCTGTATTTGTAGTGCTTAAGGTATGTTTTGCCAACATATATATATATATATATATTGTAATATTTTACTATTTAACAAATAACTATATTTATTATTGGAGTGGTAATGCCATATTTGTATCATGTAACTGTTGCTCAGCAATGTAAGAAATTGTTAAAAACTGTAATTCTGAAAGTTTACCAGCTAGGAGATATATGAAAATTTTGTAATTAAAAGATTGTTATTCAAATTATCTATCTCCATAAACTAAAAATAAAATTTATGTTTTACTAAGATGATCATCTGTTATTTTGTTAAATACTGCAAAATATGTTACAATATATATGTGATAATAACTTGGAGAGACTGCTGCATAATTAGAAAAATGACACTGGAAGAGAAGACCTTCTAGACTGACATAGCCGACTGAACATAAATATTTATTGTTGGACACGAACTTATTATCGAAACTGTATTTTTCATTACTTGTGATCATAAGCACATTACTTACACCACAATTTTATATAGAGTATCACATTTTTAATAACAGCATAGTTAGCAGTAAGACAAAGCGAAATAGCATCCAAATGATGCATTCCAAGAAGTTATTACAAGTTTTAGAATATAGGAGAATTAAAGAGTCACCGTAGTTTAAATTACAATTTAATTTTTATATTTTTTATCTTACATCTATATGTGTATGTATGCATATGTATTAAGGAACGAAACTCGAGTTTCAAATACATGGCTTACCAGTTTGAGTAGAAGATATGGAATAAAATTATATTGTGTATTTTAGAGTATCACCTCTCCCTTTCTTTTAATTTTTTTTTTTTTTTTTACAAATAACTTTAAAATCTCAAAAATATAAATATTTTTGCATAATTCATACTGTAAGACTTATGTTACTGGTTTAGTCATAATACCTATAACAAAGGATGCATTTTCTATTCATGTTCCATTGTAAATTCTGCACATGCATACGTCTCTAACAATTTAGAAAATAATCCCATTTGTATGAGAAATAAGAATACATTTAATTTTTTACTCCAAAAAAAATTTTTATGCAGAAACTCTTATAGTAAAAAGATAATGTAAGTCTAAGCAATTAATGTGCTCATGATTAACATTTATTGAATTACAGTCATTGATAACTGAATCACGTAAACTCTATACTAAAAATAAAATGTAACAGACAATTCTTAGACAAATTTCAATAATTCACAGAAAATAAATTTTTAGTAACAACAAATTATTTATTAGCTTATGTACATTTTATCAACTATACAAATAAAATCATGTTCTATACTAGAACGTAAATGCACAATTAAAATCTACCTATAAATGTGATTTCTATGTTTATTACAAACGATATATTCTTTTTGTATTTGCAGAAGTGGCCTGAAGAACTTTTTCCATAGAAATATTTTTCAAAGCAGCAATTTGAGCAGCAACATGTATGGCCATACCAGGATGAGAAAATAGTCTTCCTTTGGATATCTGAGAATATATATTAAAACACAATTAGCAAAATGGAAACCGTATAAATGCAATAAATTGTATTTAATGCAGTATGTGACAAATTTTATTTAATAAATTAAGGCTGAATGATTTTAATAAGATTCAAAGCAAACGAATCTTTTTGATCTTATGCAATCTCCTTTAAATATGTCTCAAATAAATTTTATATTTCTTTTCCCACATCTCATATCATATCTGTCAATCCAATAATAAAATAAAAAGAGGAAAGGAGTTTCTCGACTCAAAAACCAAGAGTTTCTAAGAGGTTTTGAGTTCCCCACAGAAGGAACACCAAACTGACTGAAATCTACTTCATAAATGTATGATTCAAGTCCTATTTATGATATGATTCTGATATAAAATATACTAATATTTGATTAGATATTCTAATTTTATATTCCTTGGCTTATCAAAGCACTGTTAAAACATGAAAATAAAATACACATACTATTGTGTAAATAAATGTAAAACAAAATCGAAAATAAATATAAACTGACATTGCATAGAAATTGCATAATATTCTTCATATAAATTTCTAACCCACTTATATTAACCATTTAAAAATAAAGGTGTTCTGGTTTGATGTAAAATAACATTTCAGAATTTTGTAGGAGAAGTCGTGTTAAAATTCAGGTAGGAAAGTGGAATGAATGTCATGCAAATTTAAATGAGCATTTAAAATTTAGTTTTCCATGAATAGTAGTTATTTCCAACTGAGTACATGATCTATCACATTAAGATAGGCATAAAATTATCGCATGGCATTTGGAAACCAATCTCTCGATTTCAAAAAGAAATATTTGGATTTTGTTAATTATAATCCAACTCTTTAGCAGGAATTTTTAATTTACATCTGGTAAACCGTATACATCAAATTAGGTAATTCAATGTGATACTCTAAATGAGCTATCAGTTTGAGAAGCCTTAGTAGAAAATGTTTTGTAGAAACGAGTAAAAATCACTAAACTTACAGGCAATCAACCCATTTAGTCACTAAGAATAGAACTGCGAGTAAGCTAGTGCAGCACAGCATCAGCAACTCATGTACTGCTTTTACATGCTGAAATGTTAAATTTACAATAGCAGTCATCATAATCTCAGATCGAAGTCTGTTGTTATTATTATTAATTTGAAAATCGTCATTTTATATGACTGCAATTTATAAAAAGGTTTAAAACAACTATAGATTCTAATAAATGTATTATAATTCTAAATAAGAATCATTTTCTTTTTAAATCTTTATAAATCATTATTAAAGAAATTGCACACAGATGTAAATATACTCTGATGTGTGTATTTTAATTATGGCAAAGCACACGAGGGCTATCTGCCTAAGGGGAGGGATGCCTTCGTGGAGGACTTTCTAAGGGAAACTGGCTCGTATAAACCACAATAGAATAAATGCATTCTTTAAAATTCACTTTGTTTACCATAGCGACACTCTGGCACTAGGTTTACTTAACGGTATTATATTCCGTTCGTATTATAACTCAGAATGCACAAAATTTATATCATTTAAAGAATTATCTAATCGTTGCCACATGTTCTATTCAAATACTATTACAAAGCTAGAACGATGTATAAAAGAAATTAAGCAACCAAAACAAAAAAGAATCAGTTTTTCACAGACGATTGAGTATTTCTCATTCAATTAATTCAGTTTTCACTTTGCGACAAGGAAAATACATAAAAACTCAAAATATCCGTATTAAAAATTACGAAGTAAATCCTAAATATATATTTTCTCGAAAAAATTCCAGAAAGGATTAAGCATGATTTAATTCGCAATAATACAAGAAGGCGTTATTTTTGTGTTGCGAAGCTTAGTGTCTCTAGATTGGCAACAAATCTACAATTCTGCTGTTTCAAATGTAAACAAATATATCCAACATCTTATTTAAAACTTAACCGCACTTAAACAGCTTTTAAATTGTTGATAATTGTACAAATATTGCTTCCAGAATTACGAAAGGCATAAAAACTTTAACCGGAAGATAAAAGCAACATAATTCAATCATTTTTAAAGCAAAAAATGTACAATTTACAAACATATAAGAGTAAAGAAACTGAGATCACTGAGCAGGGTAACAGAGTGGATATAGTTATAAATATATTTATATACGTTTGGCGCGGCCGATTGAAACCAAAATACGAGGTGCACATCTACATGTTATAGTAGTCTTATATACAAAATTTCAACGTTCTGAGGCTACTCATCTTTGAGTTATGCGAGATACGTACGTACATATGTTCGTACAGACACCACGAAAAATTCTCTTCAGAAATCATTTTAAAGCAGTTTTTTAGTTTTTTTGGAGTAAAAGAGTCTTTTATTCTGTCCTAACTTATAGATATTATGCAAAAACATAATGTCTGTTGCTGTAAATTGCATTCAAAAGCGGTCAAAGTAGATATTTTCGTTGAAATATGCTGCCTGAAGCTTTTCGCGATTATAATACTTCCTTTTTACTTCGTATAAGGAAGTAAAAAGGACAAATAATTTATCACAATAACAATAAAATTCTTACCACTTTTGGCACAAAATAAGGAGCATCTGTTTCTAACAGCAAACGATTTAGAGGAATATTTCTTCCTACTTCATGTACTGATTCTGCAGATGGAAATGTAACAATATTTGTTATACCATTGCAAAGATTAGGAAATGCTTCCAGCCACTTCTTGGCCCATGTCCAAGAATCAGTAAAACAATGTAAATGAATAGGATAACTATAGGGAAGAATCTAAAAGGAGAAAAAATTGGAAGATGCACGCATAAGGAAATGTTACAGATTAAATTCAAATTTAAAATATACCATAAAAACATTTCACATGCACTGTAAGAATAACTAGTGATAGAAAGTCAAGAAAGATATTGCATTTGAAAGAAAAATAACTAATTTTGTTTTAAAAAGTCATAAAATATGCTAAAAAGTGTTATCAATAGAAATTTATGATATAAATGCCACATCATAAAATATTTCAGCAAAAATATTAATGAACAGACAAATTAAACTTAATTTGCACTTTTTAACTTTTTTTTTTTTTTTTAATTTTCTAATTCATAAATATAATTTAGTTTCACTACTACTATGATAATGTTATCCAAATAACAAATCCAACTTCAAGGATCTTTATTCCAAAAATTTACAAACACAGAGATATAAGCGTGTTCTATATTTTTAATTATGTAATATTTAATATTATAACATTTTTCTTCTCACATATTTCTCATGAACTTTTTAACATATTATTCATGATCTCAATGTTCACTTGTGTAGCTTCTAGACATCCTCTGTATGTTCGAAAATCCGAATTCCTCCATAAATAGGGAATTATGAAGTTTAATTAAAAAAAAAACTCCTTTCATAAATTCCTTAGAATTAATTTTTATAAGTAATTTCTTGTTAAGTTAAAACAAATTGACATCCTTAAATTATGTAACTTAAAAATATATTATGTTTGCACACACTGTTTGAGAGATGGATTTGGAAACAAAGAATCATTAGCATAAGATCGGGCAAACTGTGTAATACAAAATGGTATTTTCTGATTATCCTGAGGACTTCCCTGAAATGTATTCACGAGGCAGCATGTTATGGCGCTAAAATAGGTAACCTATGGCTTTTCCAGAATGCACTTTTGTAGTAACCCAGGCATAAACGAGTGCACAATGCTGATCCACCTTCAAATTTTGTCATTAATGCTTCTTTCTGTTTTACTGAGTGTTCCCTCCCTCTTTTAAGGAATTATAATTCGCCTGTGGAGTTTACAGGCTAACAAAAAAACAAAAACAAAAAAAAAAGTATTATATTTCTATATAAATATGGTCTTTTGCCTAACAGTAGAGAATGCAAAATTTCACATTCCGTGAAACTGTACTTTATAAACAAATGGATATTGTGGATTAAAATTTGTGAACTCATGCCAGATTTGTGCAGTTCTCTGATTTCTTTTGAGTACATAAAAATGGAGCAAAGCCAAATTAGTACAATTATCTGATGGTTTATTTACATAAAAATAGATCACCATGTATATGGGAAGAATGACAGCATGCACAGTGCCAAGTTGCATACGTAGCCGTGTTTCTGCAATTCTTTGATGTTTTTTGAAGCTAAAAAAGATCACTGCATACATGGAAGAACAATAAGGGTTAAAAGGAAAGTTTTTTTTTTTTTTTTTGATGTTTCTTGCATTTTTAATTTTGTTAATTGTGGTTGTTTTATATAATTCTTAGTGCAACAGCATTTCTGAATATGGCTGTCGTCTTTCAATCTTAGCTAGGTGAAAAATGAGCTGGCAATGACTGGCAACTTTTTCTGAGTGGGGCTGCAGATAATTAGAAGGTACCAACGAAATTACCATGCTCATTGTAAACCATCCAATGCCAAATAAGTACTTTACGAATCTTGCATGTATATGTTTAAATCAACTTTTGTAAATGGCTTGCTTAATACAAAACATGTTTCAGGTTTTGGTCAGTCTTTTATAACCTTAACTCTCACAAGAATATTAAATAATATATTAATATCAATCAAGTTTTAAAAAAAAAATTGTACAGTAATTTTTAACTACTGCTTAACTGACCACTATGCATGACAGCTCTTTTCTCCACAAAAAAGGAAAGAAAAGGTATATTTAATTTAATGCATATTTATTAAAATTTTAATAATCTGTATTAAAAAAAATAAATCTGTAAAATTAAAAGATAAATACCATAATAATTTATGTCTGCTACACAATCTTGCAATATTGATAAATGCATTTGTAATACAAGTTATGATTTTAATTAAAAGTAAAGAAATACTGAAAATGTAAAATAAAATGGAAGGATGAGCAACATTATGTTGTTATTTAAGAAAGTTAATGCACAGTAATAATAAACTATATAAAAGAATTTTTAAAATATTTATTTCATTGTATGACTGTTATATAGAATAAAGGAATTTAGAAAATATTTATTTATTATATGGTACAACAGTGGTATTCAAGCTATGAGCCATGATTCCATTTTGGGTCTATATGTGAATAAAAATCCTAAAAAGTTTGTATTAATGGTATATAACTAAGGGTTGATGCTCTGATTGAGGTCGCTAAATCATTTTAATCATTTTTTGGGCTCCTTTTCAATTTTATGGGATCATACTGCCATAAGGTTTGAATACTACTGGATTAGTAAAATTAGACATTAAA